AAGTTGATTAAACTACTCATAAAACTTAACTTGTTCCAACTACTTTTTCCACATTATTTATGTCAACATGACTCATAAAAATAATGTTTGCAACATAAAAGGGTTTATTTAAATCAACAAATTAGAAGTTTCACATTGAAATCATGCATTTATTTAAGTGGTTGACTGAATTACTTTTTAGAGAGGTGTAATTGTGCTTATGTGGGTATGACTATACAGGAGATGTGTTCTCATACTGTATGTGTACATTATGTTTTCTCTTTTGAAAAGTGTTCTGGTTACAACAGTCTGTATAGTCTGTTACTGTTGCAGCAATACTAGTAATGGTAGCAGGTTTAGACCTTTTATAAATGATGTACAGGTGTAATTAATAACATGAGTTGTGGCTGCATTACATTTAGTTTTACTAATTCCAGGACTGTTACTGTCCTATGACACTGTGAAGGAGCTGAGCCATCGGTAATGTTGGTTGCACCTGTGCTCTACCTGCTATGGGCATGTTCGATACATAGTGATAGTAGTAGTAACAGTTGGAGTATTACCAACTGATGCAGATTTATAATCAGTCTGACAGGAGGTTTAAATCTGTTTCTGTGACTTTTATAAAGCGTTACAGAGTACAAATCTATTCAAGTGCAATTCATGAATTATAAATATGGAATTAGTCACAGGCTTTCGTGTAATTCGACTGCTTTTGTTCCAGCGCTGCAGCACTGCGCGGTGGAGTAGAACTGATGGAGTGTAAAGTGATTTACCAACCTGTGGCTGGAGGCTACTACCAGAGCAGAGTATGATATAAACTGATTATTGCTGAAATGGACAGGGAACCATTATCAATTTGATTGGCACTTCAGCTGACCTCTTCACATCCCTCCATAGATAGACACGGAAGAAATTAACATTTCTTGATGGAAATTCCCATTAAGTCAAGTCATGCGGAATTTATAGAGATAAGCTGGAAACTCTAGATAGATAGATCGATAGATAGATATACCTATGTACATATCACTCATCACTGTCGATATATGCTGTATATATATATACACACACATGCATTTGCAGCCTACATATCCACCTACTTCATGTATATGGAGTAATCTATTACATTACGCATTCAATATTTATTGTTTAGTACAATTTACAGTGACTGTGATCAATATTTTATGGACCAAACAACTAATTATTTAATCAAGAATATTATTAAAATAATCGTTAGTTGCAGCCTTAAACTCAAAACTGGAGTCAAATTCCTTGTATGTGGACAAGTACTTGGCCAATAAAGCTGATTCTGATTCTGTATTAACATCTGTTTATCAGGGTCAATGAGTGCAACTGACAATTATTGACACAACTATTGTTGTTACTTCACATTTACTGTCAGCAAGAGAAAAAAAGACTGCAGCAGCATTAAATGTCTTTTGTAGCACAGCTTTCTTTCAGTTGAGTAACATTCAGACAGGTAAACACCCAAAGGAATAGCCACAAGGTAATACAGTCTTTATAATATTAACAACACCTGAACTTTTGCTACCAAAACAGTATGAGGGCATACTTGATTTTTTTTTAGATACACAGGTATTTGGTTCCCGAAATGACAGTTCACCCCAAGGCCCTGCTTAAATGTCATGAGGAGGGAGTTTGTGTGGCTCACAACCTGTCAGCTGAGGGGAAAACAAGGTTGTCGACGCTAATTCAAAACTACAGTGTGTGAGGTGGAGAGAAGAGAGGTGAGGAGAGGACACATGCTGGTCCTGATCTTTTCCAAAACAAGTAAACTTACTGACAAACTGTCCTTTCTATAGAAAGAAAAAATAAGGGGAACTGAACAGATGTACTGTTATCTTTTGAAATCTTCAGTGGGATTATAACATGCAAGATTAACAACAAACTAACTGTGTTTACTCCTCTCCCCCTGCAGCTACGCCACCAAGACTGATCCATAATAATAATCCCCAGCTGGAGAACAAACAACATCTGGGCGTGGAGAGAAGGGAGAGGGCGAAGTCTCAGCAGGGTGGGCGGCAGATGGTGACACTGCAGCAACACTTCTCCAGGTAGCACCTTCACCACACCGACAACCAGGCACCCAAATGCAGATAATTCTCCACTAGAGCCTTGAATTTCCCTCGGGATAAATAAAGTATCTATCTATGTTATACTTAACTTGTGCATAATTAAGAGCATTTTTTGGATTAGCCAGGAGCCGGCGAAGTCAGGACTGCGCAGATTACGATGGCCATTTCTAATTACACAATCTTTGAAGGTCACTACGTCTGTAGCCTGCTCCGCACTGGCTACACCAGCCGTTACTACCATAACACACCTGGATGTCCAACTCTATCCAAACTGTCGGTGGTTGAGTTGCATAGTGGGTAATGTAGGTGCTAGCTTTTCAGGGTCAGACGACGTTGTTGGAAGGCAATGCTGAGTACTGTTATTATGATTGTAAAATGTTGAAATAAAATGTTAGTTCTCATGTAGTACAAGGTAACCTTCAGTGAGACGTAGCAGGCTCCCAGAAAGCCTTTAGGAAGTCTGGTGATGTAATGTGATGAGCAACGACATTCACCCAGGTTGGTGTCCCATGTAAAACCAAAAGTCAACACTGACTCAGTCAAGGGCCAGTGTGTAGGATTTAGTGGAATCTAGTGGTGTAGTTGCAGATGGCCACTCCCTCGCTTCACCCTCACCCAACAAGGGGGGAAACTATGGTGTCTGAGAAACGAGCCAACAACATGAAAGGCCCTGGCTACAGCCAGTGTTTGGTTTGTTTGTTCTGTAGATATAAAAGGCTCATTCTAAGGTAACGAAAACATAATGATTCTTATTTTCAGGCGATTATACATTAATAAAAACATTAATCTGCCAATAGATCGATCTAAATGATCCACACTGGACCTTTAAACTTATAAGTTATACAACAAACTTGTTTTAACTCAAACACTCTGGTGGCAGATGGTGACACTGCAGCAGCCCTTCTTCCAGGTAGCACCTTCACCACACCGACAACCAGGCACCCAAATGCAGATAATACTCTACTAGAGCCAGATTATTGTTATTATTATTAGTTAT